AAGGTAGGACTTTGTGTCTGTGTGGGGGGGGGGCTTTGTCTCTCTCTCTCTCTCTCTCTCTCTCTCTCTCTCTCTCTCTCTGTGTGTGTGTGTGTGTGTGTGTGTGTGTGTGTGTGTGTGTGTGTGTGTGTGTGTAGGCAAGAAAGCCCTTGATGTGAAGGGTACAGGTGATGATTTTATCATGCTAGTAAGCAAGGATTCTCAGACTAGCAGAATCAGCATGCCCATCAAATCTAAAAGCTTCCCCATAGTACTTTGAAATAAGTATTATTCATCTCAGAATACTAAAAAATACCACAGCAAAAGTAAATTGCTTTCTAATTTTAGAAAGTAAGACAAATACAAGCATTCCTATGAAAAGTAATATGTCATGTCATTAACACCTTAGTGTGAATTAATTTAAACAAAGAGAAAGAGGCATGTGTGAAAGAGTGTGAGGAAAGAAGAGTGAGAGAAAGTGCAGCTGCTGGACACAGTATGACTCCCAGTATATTTTACCAAGGACATGGTTTGGCCAAAGACATAGGCACCCTCTGCTCCCAAACTAACATTACACACATTTTGCACAGTACAAGACACACATCTTTGTTTGAATCCTTATCTAATAATCAAAATTTTTTGTAGCTGAGAGCTTTTCACCTGGAAAAAAAGTGTTTACAATACTGATCTTGTGATCTGTGGCAATTCTAATTTTAACAGCATTTTCTGAAGAGAATAGAAAAAAATACTCTATTTCATTTTCTCCCTTGACCTACTTTAGCATATTCTTCCCCACTTAATATCTTCTATCCTTCACATTCTCCCTCCTGCATCTTATGCAAAGAGATGCTGAGCTGGAGAAAATAAGCCGCATTTGTCTTCCTGCCTCTTCCCTAAAGAGGGGTGTTGAAACCTGAATGCATTCATTGATCATGCCTCCTGCTGTGCACAGACTGGCCTGCACAGGGTGCCCATCTTACAGAAAAGCTCCTGTGAATCAGGAAGACACGGGAAGGAATTTCAAATTACCCACCCTCCACCATTGTCCTTACATTACACATTGTCCTTAGATTATACATTACATCCTTAGATTATAGTTACACATCGTCCTTAGAGCACAGCTGAATAATCTAATGAACCAATCTACTGAAATGTGATAAAGTGAGCCAATTATTTCTAAGATGCCTGTCACAGAACAAGCAGCCATTTATTGCTCACTTATTTAGCTTGTGGCCTAGCAAAGTGTTGCTTGTGGACCAGCAGCACTGGTATCACCCACGAACTTGTTAGAACTACAGATTCTCAGACTTAGGCTGACCTTATCTGAGCCTACATTTTAACAAGCCCCCCACTTGATTCATATGTACATTACAGTTTAAGAAGCCTTGGCCAAGTTGCTCATTAAAACCTTGCCGTTTCTGATTGCCTCAATGAGAACGTTACTCACCAGAGTGTTCCAGGGTGCCACTTAGTGACAAGAGCAAGTTCATCCCACTGGGGGCCCCCATCAGACACATCAGAAGGACAGAAGTCTGAGCCTTATTATTCTAACTCATGGAGGTTGCTTAACTTCTTAACTGGGAGACAAGGAGCTTCTTCAGAGGCCTTCAACTTACCCCCCAGGGACTACCCTAGTTGCTTTATGTACGAGACCTAGCCTGGATTGACATATGTACTCCCTATCCCTTTACAAATGAAAGTCCAACACTTTCTTATAAAGAAAATTACTTTCCAACTATTAAATAAATGATAGCCACTATTTTTGTTGGCTACTTGTTTTGGTAGAAGGCATTTCAACAGATTGTTGTTCTATAGTCCTGAGATTTTTCCTGCTGAATTTTTTGTTGATATCTTGTAATATCATCTTTTTAATATACAGGGAGAAAGAGAAATGAAAATAAAATAGCTACATTATGCTGAGCTCAGGCAGATAGAAGAAATAAAACCAAGACCTATCATATTTAGAAGAAAAAAGTAACAAATGTAGAATTTCCAGGAATTCCTTGGGGAGAAGTGTCCTAATACAAATTGCCACTTCATTAATACATACATAAGACATGAAAAATGTCCCTTTGGTCTTAAAGAAGGCTGGCTTTTAGTTCATGAGAGCTGCCATTGCCTGCACTATCTAGTGATCACTGCCAGAATACATACAAAAATGCATGCCAGTTAACCTATTAATTCTATTGCTGGTGTATTATTCAGAGTTCTCTAGAGGGACAGAACTAATGGAATATATATTTATATATATATGAGTTATATATATATCAATATATATATATATATATATATATATATATATATATATATAAGAGTTTATTAAGTATTAACTAATAAAATCACAATAGGCCATCTGCAGGCTGAGGAGCAAGGAGAGCCAGTCCAAGCTCCAAAACAAGAACTTAGAGTCCGATGTTTGAGGGCAGGAAGCATCCATCATGGGAGAAAGATGTAAGCTGGGAGGTTAGGCTGGTTTCTCTTTTCAAATTTTTCTGCCAGCTTATATTCTAGCCATGCTGGTAGCTGATGGTATCCACCCAGATTAAGGGTGGGTCTGCCTTTTCCAGCCCACTGACTCAAATGTTAATCTCCTTTGGCAATACCCTTACAGACACACCCAGGATGAATACGTTGTATCCTTCAATCCAATCAGGTGGATACTCAGTATTAACCATCATGGCTGGTTTTGGTGACTTTGGAGTATGTCATGTTCTTGTCCTGTATATGTCCTAGTAGATGCTGTAGATTTTTTAAGTGATCCCACCCTGATCATACATTCTATCTTTCCAACTTTCTCCACTGTTCAGAAATATTATCAAAAGATTTGATATATAAGATTAGTTATGCATATTCTATTTCTTCCCTTATTATCAACAGTGACCTTATTCTCTTCTCTAGGCACATTCTATCTCTGGAATGTCAGGTGTTTTATAATATTTCTCTTTTCAAAAAGGTGATATGGGGCTGTTTTTTCCTGCAACCTGCTTGAGTGGTAAGCCTCAAAAGGCAACAAAAGTAGGATTATTCTCTGCCTAAGGCAAGATCATCCTCCAAGATATCCAGCTTTGGAACTTCCAATACATCTTCAGTGTTCTCCTTTCTCATTCCTGAAATCCTATTTGTGGCCAACCCCTGTTCACTTTTCTTCAATCATGGCCACCTCTCTTAACCTTAACTCCTGGTTGTAGGCTTGGTTCCCTGGGAAACAAGTTCTACTTTGAGATTCTCATTATGGAAGTTGATTGAGAAGTATTCTTAAAACAGCATCCATGGAGTGGGAGAAAAAAATGGGGAAAGAAAGCAGTTACGCCATGATACACTTGTAATAGAGGCCCTAGGTGACCCTATAAGGGAAGTCTGGTGTTAGAATGGTCCAAGAGAAAAATCCTGAGGTAAGAAAAGGAGCCTTTCTACCCTAGTCTCAACCAGTCATTGAATGTAAACTGACATAGAGAGGGATACAATATTTGACAAAACAGTTCCCTTCAGCAGGGGGCAATTTCCAGAAAGAGACCTATCTCTGAGCAAGAGTTATCACTCCTGGAATCTCTTTATAGAAATGAGTGTCTTGGTCCTGAAGGGAACTCTGGGAGGTCCACCAAAATATACATTACATTTGAAAATTTTTAAATTATTCCTGATAGAAAAATATTCTACAATGAACTAAATAAGTCTTACCCCCCCCAAAAAAAAAAATGGCCCCAGTTTAACTCTTTGAATTACATTGTTTCTCTACCACCTCCGCAAATACCAGATATGACATTTTGAAAAAAGGAAAAACAAAGCAAGTAAAATGACAAAGTAGACTTTTTACCCTTAAGGCTCTGTAGCTGAGAAGCAGATATATATTTTCTAGGAGCATTTCACTGGTCAAATGTCACCAAAACAATTTCCGAGCCAACCTGCCCTCATTAGTTCTCTGAGCTCTTGATTACAAATTTATAAGAGGACTGCCCTAGATAGTCAGAGAGCCCCTTCAAGATGGCCATCCTCTTAGCCCTCAGCGTTTCCCACTGGGAACATTAGAAGCTTTCCCATCAACCAAAATAAACAACTCCTTTCATGAATAGACCCAATAAAGATCCTATAAATCATAGCTGTCAAAAATGTTGCTAGCATTGCAGAAGACAGAAATCAATCTAAAATTCATTAGTTTGCCTGACAAGAGCCTAATCTCATTGTTTAATACCAACCATGGCACCTCAGGTAGAATAAGAAGCTGCAAGAGATCATCCTGGCTTCCTGTGACAGAAATGTTCAATGTTTATGGCTTAATCTGGCCTTTCGACCATTTCTATTCTGTAGGCGGAAACCTTTGCCCCCTGCTTAGGGTCAAGTTGCCTGTGATATGAGGCAGGAATCACTCTGATGTTGTCACCATATTTCACAGCCATTAGTGTTATGGTTTGGTGGGTTGCAGTATTTCAGGTAAAAAGGACACAGACATTGCAGCCTAAGTAAAGTGCTCTGTATATACAGTGAGTCAAAGGCTCACACGTAGATGCACAAACACTTCTGCAAGCCAGGGGTTAGCAAGAATATTCCCTCTCTCTCTTTCTCTTCACAGAACCCCTGTTGTGATAGCACTTTTTTGACTGCATCTCTCCTTTGAGGCTTCCCTAGTTTATTTTAATCAGATCTTAACTGTGTATAAATGATATTCAGGATTAGCATGGGACAGAGGATTCTAGAGATAGATGGGCAGTGCTATCACATAGGTCACAGCCTCTTGAACACAGAAAATGATTCAGGCCATACAGGAGCTCCACCAACCTACAAACATTACTCTGGCCAGGCTAGTCTCCTAATGTTCTCCCAACTCATGTACACATTCAACGTCTCTTCTCTTTCCTTATGCCGCTGGAATGACTTGGATTCTTTACTGACTGTCCAATGTCTTTCAGGGCATAAACTCCTCAGGAAACTTTACTACTATTCATATTAATGTATTCCATCAATGTCCTTCCAGGTTCTTCTTGTCTGTGCACCTCAGATCACTTAATCCTGCCTTGTATTGTGACTATCTTTTTACAAGCAAAGGCCTGAATTCCTAAAAACCTTGTTAAAAACCAAACTTGCTGAATTTACTATTCATCTCGACCAAGGGTGGTGGAAATTTACCAAATGAAGTATTACTACTATAGGCAGTAGGTTAATAGAGTTTACATTTCACTCTGCCAGGTTTTTTTAATGATTAGTTTTTGACAAACATTTTAATAAAATATGATTATTTCATATTCCATAAAATATAGTAGTATCTACATCAGTATGCTAAAAATCTTAAGAGAGTAGAATTGTGGTCCATACCCAAAAGTGTCCTTTTCCTTCACTTAATAAATACAATACATTGAACTCTACAAACTTTTATTGTTTGCTACCAATTTTGATTAAAAAGTTGAAACTGTCAAATTCTATTAAGATTTCACATCAAGTCTTTAAACTGGATAAAGAAGAAACATAATGAAAAGTCATTATGGCTTATTTCTATAAAATAAGGATGCAAGTTCATTTTAGGCTAACTCTCCACATGGTATTTGACTATTTTGATCTCACATTCGAGTACTAACCAGGCCTGATTCTGCTTAGCTTCCAAGATCAGATGAGATCAAGTACATTGAAGGTGGTATGGCCATAATCTGACATAGGGAACTATTATGTAAATAAGTCTATTTTCTTTATCAAACTAGGTGGTCAGTAGGCTTTGAGAGTATGATATCCAGAAGCTTTATTTTTTTGTGGGATGCTTGTTTGTGTGTGCCCATGTATCTATGTGGCAGAGGTTAGAATGGTATGTGAGTTTATGAGGGATGCCAAGGTGTGGCCTGGGATCCATGGAAACCTGAGTAAGCAAGAAATTCCAGGAAGCTTCCACTTCTCAAAAATATCAGCCCTGTATCCTCCACCAATAGAAACATCATTTTGCCTACTGGATCCTCTTTTTAAAAAACTATTTATTTTTTATTTCCATAGTGTTTGGAGTGCAGGTGGTTTTTTGTTACCTGGATAAGTTATTTAGTAGTGATTTCTGGGATTTTGGTGTACCCGTCACTCAAGCAGTATACATTGTATCCAGTATGCAGTCTTTTACCCCTCATCCCTTCCCACCCTTTCCCCCAAGTCCCTGAAGTATATTACATTATTCTTGTGTCTTTGTAGCCTCATAGCTTAGCTCCCAATAACAACTGAGAACACATAATATTTTGTTTTTCATTTCTGAGTTACACTTCACTTAGATTAATGGCCTCCAGCTCCAAGATCCATACAAGTCACTGCAAAAGACATTATTTCATTCCTTCTTATGGCTGTGTAGCCTAATGGGTGCTCTTTTTGAGAAAAAACAATCCTAAAATATTAAACACAATTTACTAATTGTAAGGACTACAGGCACTATTCTTTCACACTGGTACCTGGATTTTTAGTTTAATAACCAGGAATTAGAATATTGGGGTTCCATCTTTAGAATTTTACCCACAATTAAGGGAAGTGGAACTTGGAGTCATCTGGTTCTTGGACAGACCTGGGGGGACGGTCTTTAGGCAGATATCTATGGGTGTGACAAAAGGTAAAATTGGAAGAGAGAGAGAAACTGAACTCAGAAAAAAAAAAAATTCAACATAGCCAGCTTTGTGTTTTTCTAGAAAACTATTAAGGTGCAATAATTATTTTCTCTCTACTAAATTATTTTACAAAGATTTTGAAATTCCTTTTAGAAATCCTTGATTGTATCCTTTCCCAATATCTTTGAAAAGCAAAAAAATCTTAGCGATGAAAAGAAACTGAGAGTCCATTATATCAAGCCCTTACAACCCCTCCCAGATGAAATCCCATTTAAAATTCAAAATCTGAGAGCTTATGGTTAGAGGGAAGCACACAGCCCTCCTCCTTCCACACACTGTGATTGGTGGTGGAGACAGATCCAGCAAATGACAGCCTGCCAGATGGTCTTCCAGCCTGTATCTGAACACTTCATCGAAGGCGAACTTCCTACTTCATCAAGCAGCAGTCCCACTGTTGGACAGCTCTAACTGTCAGGAAATTCTTCAGTAACTTCCAGCCTTTAGTTTCCAAAACCATACATCTGACTCTTACTAACATAATAATTCTTCAAAGGTTGGATGATGGCTATCAGGTCTCCCTTCATCTGTCTTACATTTTTTATGCTAAACAGCTAAAATTCCAACTTTCCTCTAGATGATACTTTTTTCCTGCATGCCTCTCCATAAATGGCTACTAAAATATTTCCTTTTCTGTCACACCTCAACTAGTATTAAAGGGATAACATCAGATCAGATGTTATCTACAGTACAGGTATTCACTAAGACATAAGTCATCATCCAATGATATTTGTGTCTTTTTGTCTGACAAAACTCCCTAATGTCCTTTTCTGAAAAACATCATTGCTTAGCTATTTTTTTACATATTAATCACCAATCATCCAAAGAGAATGTAAACATACACAGGCTAATTTTAAAAGTGAACACAAATGATGAGGCTACTTCAAATGGATTTTCCTTTTTTCCCCCTTAAATCACTTTTACTGGAGATGAAATTTCCAATTGGTGACATGAATTAATTCTTGAATTTTTAGTTGCAAAACAAAAAATGGGGAAATAGAAATATTAATGTCATTCACTGGTGAACTGTTTTCTTCCTCTTCAAAGTATTTTCAAACATTGGCTAATTCATGATTTTACTTAATTGGTTATTTCTGCCTAAAGAAAATAATTAAAAGAGGTACACTTTAAGTAGATCAGAGGCTTCCCAGAGAAGAAAACTGCACCTTTTCTTTACTATTCTGCTGATGCTTCATTTATGAGTTTTCGTTAGGACTGTTTTGTTTTTAAGTGGATGAGACATGAATACTTCTCTTTCTACTCATTCCAGAATGACTTCTAAATAATTTTATCACTGCAAGATGCAAGAAAAAAAAACCCCTTAAAAAATGTCATGTCTGCTTTCTTCCCACTCATCCTCATCTCCCTAAATCTATGCTTTCTTCTACCTCCATGAGAAACACTTTCCTGTCTCCTATTTTCCACACAAATCCTGATCTCTCTTCCATACCCAGGGACAGCTCAAGTCCCTTTTCCTAAAGAACACCTTCCCTAAATTCCAGTCCAAGCCACTTCATTTGTCCATTAAATTGTCTCTGGAAATAATTTGGTGAGTCCTTTTCCGTGGTGAAAATGGCAGATGAAACTAAGGCACCTCTGAAGTTTCAGTGGATGAATTTTACCAGCTGATGGTTGGGGAAAATATTTGGACCTATTTTGTTTTTGAGGAGAAAAGGTATAACTTTAGAATCAGAGGGATTTGGGTTCTAGTTCCTAATTTAAGTCTAACTTTCCTCACAGAAATAATATTAATACATGAGGTCAATGAAAGCGTAAAAGGAGATGTCTATAACAACGCTGCCACATCTGCTAGCACTTAGATCTCAGCAAGATGATAAATATTCTTTATCATCATTATTAATTATAAAAACATGAGCTTGTGCAATCTTGAACTACCTTTTATTCTTTCTTACATGGTTGTTTCTCCAAACATACAACTAAGAGTCTAGAATATCTCACGGTTTTCAGAAGACATTTTGTGTTCCAGTTCTAGAAGAGCTGCCTATCTTGCTATAGAAGGCTTGCATATGGAGCAGACGAAGTAGCATTGTTAAATCCATTCAAGCCATCTTTGTGTGACCTTCAAAGCTCAGAGGACAGTGGCTTGAGCACTGTGAGGGTCAATGAGGAAGGACTGCTCCAGTATCCAAAGGCTGGGTGATATGGAGGTACAGACAGCTTTCTGGTGTTGGAATACATCTGCTTGACCAGGTGTCCTGCATCTCAGTGAAAATCACCTGCATTCATCTGTCTCTAGACCTTTGTGTCAAGAAGGGCTAGACCTTGTAGGATAAAGCTTCCACATGGTGGCTAAACAGTCTCTCAAGCTGTTTGGCTAGGGGAAATGCAGAAATAAGAGGCTAAGACCCTCCTTTTCACTTCCCTCCCTTTACCCCTTACAAGGTGAGAATAAGAAAGAAGTTAAGTGGCCCAGCAGTATAGAGGAGCTGGCAGAACAGCAGACCCATGTCTCTAGAAAGCACCCCCAGCACTCAAATACAGGACAAAGAAATTAAAGCCACAGAATTGTGTAGAGTGATAGAAGTAACTGTGCTTCTACGGTTCCTAAGCATCTATGGCTGGATTGATCTCACACCAATGAGACAGTGTTCAATGCTATCCTCTTCAGGCACAGAGCTGAGTGAAGAATGGATGCCCTATATGGTGACTTTATAAAGACACACAGGATAATAATATATATCATTCAAAAAGACACATAGGAAAATTGCTCTATAACTAAAGGTGATCAACATAAGAAGCACAAATTTTAAAAAGCAGTAAGATATGTTTCATCAATTTTATGGGCAATGATAAAAATTTTGATAATAAAGTATTATTGTATGAATCGGTGGGCTTTGAAAATAACAAATTTAAAATTCATGTAGTCAGTAGCAAACAGGATAGACAAAATTACTGCTTCCACAAAGCTTCCTATCCAGTTGGGGCAGGAATAAAGGGTGTGGTATGGAAACTAACCATATATGTATATATATATATATATATATATATATATTTATATTTATATATATTTGTGATAGAGTCTCGTTTTGTTGCCCAGGCTGGGTATAATAGCACAATTTCAGCTCACCATAACCTCTGCCTCCTGGGTTCAAGCGATTCTCCTGCGTCAGCCTCCCGAGTATCTGGAACTACAGGTGCATGCCACCATGACTGGCTAATTTTTGTATTTTTAGTAGAGATGGGGTTTCACTATGTTGGCCAGGCTGGTCTTGAACTCCTGACCTTGTGATCCACCCATCTTGGCCTTCCAAAGTGCTGGGATTACAGAAGTGAGCCATTGTACCTGGCCAACACATTTATTTTAAATCAAGTACTTTTAAACGAGGAATTTAGCTTCTGAAAAAATATTTTCTCCTGTCTTCTGTTGAGAAAGGTGTTCCTTAGGACAC